CAGAGCTGTCCTCGGCAGCGCTGCCCACTTGCCATCAGCTCCCTCCATCCCAGGAGCCCAGCCCAGCTCAGCAGCAGAGGACCAGCCCAAGGCAGCACTTGCTCTGCCTACTACCCCCACCCCCTTGCCCCACAGATCCCTCGGGGTGTCCCTATGTCTCCAGGGCTGACAGCTCCTGAAAGGCAGCAGGGTCTCTCCTGGGGAACACAATCTGAAGCAGACTGAAGTTATCACTGACTGTCGCTCTCTAATCACTGGTCAGACTGATTGCTGCAGTGGCAGTTGCTCTGCAGGAGGTGTCAATGTTCCTCTCTGGAAACCCCCATTCCTGTCCCATTGTCAGGCAGGGCATGCAGGCAGTGACAGGCAGGGGATCGAGTGATGCCACTGCTCACCACCCGCAGACCAATGCCTAGCAATCACTGCCCCATGGCCAACCCCACCCCAGTTTCTATACTGAGCATGACATCATATGGTATTGAATACCCCTTTGCACAGTTTGCCTCAACTGTGCTGGCTGAGCTCCTGCCCAGCTTCTTGTGCTCGTGACAGAGCATGGCAGGCTTAAAAGCCCAAGTTTAGTGTAAGCACCACTAGAAAACCACTAAAACATCAGTGAGTTATCAACATTCCTCTTATACTAAACCCAAACCACAGCACTATGCCAGCTATGAGGAGGAAAATTAAGTCTCTCCCAGCCCAAACCAGGACAAATCCTCAGGAAGTTTTACAAGGAGAACTTGCAAGTGCAGGGCTGTCTGGCAGGTACCCCTGAAAGATCCCAATTATTTCCTTTGTGTCACCGTTTCTTTCCTTTTCTCTCTTGTCCCACTCACCATTTCTTCTCCTTGACTATCCTGGTGCCCTCTCATGCAAACAGCATGTCTCTGTTCACCTTTTCCTCCCTGGTGCCAATTTGGCTTCCTCTGTAGCCTCCTTTGGTGTTTCTGAGTTTGTCACAAGAGAATTCCTACCTTGGTCAGCAATTCCATTAAACCATTACCTCCTGCAGTTATCTGTAGTCCCCTGAAATTTCTCATGCACTTATCTTGTCAGAGGCACCACAGATCTGGTGGGCCACCTGTACGCACACAGGAACAGCTGCCCACACAGAGCTTCACTCCTGAGGGACCCTGAGAAACTCTGGGATCTGGCAATAGAAACCTCATGAAGTTATAAAAGGAAAAGTTGCAACTGGGGTTTTGAGGGCAGAATAACTGAACATGAGGACAGGCTGGGACCTGACCATCGCAGTGGTGTTCCTGACGAGAAGGGCCTGGCACAAAGAGGAATGCCATAGGAGCCAGGGGGCCCAACTCACCATGAATAAAGCCAGCTGCATAGAGGGCTGTGTTACTTGGAGCATGGACACCCAGAGAAGGGAGTTCTCATCCCCCTTGTATCAGCACTGCTGCGGCCACCTCTGGACTCGTGTGTCTGGCTGTGGGGCTCCTGGTCTGGAGGAATGGGGAGGAACTAGAGAGGCTGCAGAAGACATCTTCCAGGATGGTGGTTGGGGCCTGTATAGAGAGGCTGAGGGACCCAGGCTTCTTT